CCATTGCACTCCAGCCTGGGTAACAAGAGCGAAACTCCGTCTCAAAAAAAAAAAAAAAAGAATCGGGCTTGTTGTAAGTTTTTAATAGATTCCTACTTTGGTTACATTTAGTTTTTAATTGTATGTGCCAAAATGTATGCTTGGTTTGGTTCACTCCCTTGGTCTTATTTTCCCAAACAAATTATACCAAAAAATGTATAATTTTGGTGTATGCAATTAAAATGTATAATGTTGGCATCTGCAATTAAATTATTGCATCAAAACTATAATCATGTTTAAATGGAAGAAATTTATTAAGGGCAGTAGCTCATGGAATCAATGGGTGGAATGAAGAAATAAAGAAGCTTCTGAGGTTTCACACAAACTTTCAGAACAATTCCACTGACATGAGCTGCTACTTCCTCCATGATCACAAAACTGCCGAAACAGAAAACTGCTGCTACAAATGCTGGCCCCAGAAGACACTGCCACAGAAAATCCCCATGACAGCAGCTAGCTCCAGAACCATGCCAATTCTCTCATAATTTATACCAGGAAAACGGATGCCCTGCACCCTGCCTCTTTCCTCACATGACTCGGTTCCAAATGAAAGTGTAACATAAATTCATCGCAGGACAGAAATTAAATCATATTAGGAAGATTTCTGATAACCATGGACTGGATTATTTGACCAGTATTTCTGCTGAAAACAACAAAAATGCTAAATAAAACATTTTGAATATCTTCATAAAAGCACCAAAGATATCAAAATCTAGAAATAATTCATTAAGTAAAAAATCTAAGCAAAATCTAGAACCCAAAGAAGTAAGCAGCCATTTTATACTTTGGGAGTATTTGTTTACATAAACTGTGAAACCAAATAGTAATTTTGATAGACTCATAAGGGGGAGGACAAAAAAAATCAAAGCCCAATGCAACCTAACAGACCCACATATAAAGCTGGACCCCAAAGGGCTACACCATTAGGATAAACATACAGAAGTAAACTGCCTTCTCCCGCTCACATCCAGAGAACTATAGGAAGAGTTGCCTGCATGCTGAAGAAAGCAGGGGAAGATAAAAAAGAAAATCATCTTTGATTGGTGGAAACCATGAGCCAGTCCTCACACAGACTTGAAGCCTAATTCACATCTCTAGGGTGAACCAAGTAACCACAAGCCTTGGAATTAAAGGCATCTAAACTGGCATAAACAAAAACAAGTAAATCTTTTCTAGAGAAAGATAGCTTCATTTTATTTCTCAGGAGATCCCTACAAGCAAAATGTAAATCCAAACTCAAAACTAACCAAGCATACAAGGAAATAAGATCATATGAGTGAGGTGCAGCAGAAACAACAGATAGCAGAAACAGACCAGCAAAGACTTCAGATATAGACCTTTTAGATACAGATCATAATATAACTATGCTTACTATATGTAAGTAAATAAAGGAATAGCTGAAAAATATTTTCAGAGATGAGGAAACTCTAAAAGTTGATAGAAACTTTGTTTTGTTCACTGCTATATGCCCAGTACTTAGACCATTGTTGAACACATAATAAGTATTAAGTTTTGAGGGAGTGGCTGAATATTTGCACCTAAGGCCTCCTGTCTGTGCTCATCTCAAATATCTAACTGCCTACTTGCCATCTTTAATAGGACAAGTTTTTGTTTGATAACTTCAATTCCTATCCAACATTTACTGTATTTTTCCATTCTCATGCTGCTATTGACACAGAATTTTTCTCAGCCACTTTGCCAACTGGTGACCCGGACCTGTGACTGGAGGTACCCCGCCCACTCTATCCATCTGTGTTATGGCTTGTATCTGTGTTTGGCAGTTCCTGAGCTTACGTCCCACATCCAAGAAGAATGAGGATATACTGACAATTCAAAGGGTGAGGTGAACAGAGAAGAATTTTTTGAGTGATGGAATAGATTTCAGCAGAGAGAGGATGTGGAGGTGGTTTCTCTCCCAGTATGAGTGAGTCTGGGGCTTTTATGGGCTCAGAATAGGGGAGTCCATGCTAATTGGTTTGTGAGTATGCAAAAAAGAAAAGTTAAAACAAGGGCACCACTCAAAGGTGGGCATGACAGTGTAAAAAACCAACTAGGGGCCAGGCGTGGTGGCTCACACCTGTAATCCCAACACTTTGGGAGGCCAAGGTGGGCAGATGTTGGAGTCAAGAGACAGAGACCATCCTGGTCAACATGGTGAATCCATGTCTCTACTAAAAATACAAAAATTAGCTGGGCATGGTGGTGCATGCCTATAATCCCAGCTCCTCAGGAGGCTGAAGCAGGAGAATTGCTTGAATCCTGGAGGTGGAGGTTGCAGTGAACCAAGATTGCACGACTGCACTCCAGCCTGGTGACAGAGTGAGACTCTGTCTCAAAAAAAAAAAAAAGAAAGAAAAGAAAAAAGATAACCAACTAGGGAAGGCTGAAATAGGTGAAGGGTGGAGATCAATCAGAGGCAAGTGTCCAGGTTCTCAATCCAGTCCAGGAATTTACCTGGGACTGTCTTCAACTTGAAGGTCAGGTTTCAGTTCCCTCCTCTGAAGTGGTACATCTAACTGCCATTAGGATAAGGATGGTGACTGATCTTAACTGACAGGGAGTGCTGTTTTGGGAAGACAGCAGTCAGATCTCTCTCAGAGGCCTAGCTAAGGATTGCTAGTAAAACGGAGCCATCATCTGAGGCTCCAGTTGGATGACTGTTCGGAGTTTGATGGTCTGACGGCAAGAAGAGACAAACTGGTTATTAGAAGACATGTACCAAACATGTACCAAAACGAAACAAGGGGGTAAGGACAGCTAAAAAAATCCCAAGGCTGCCAACATGCCCAGATAACTGGTGGCTATAGTTATGCCTGCTAAAATTTGGGTGGATAGGGCTTGGTTTTGTTAGCTCCTGTGATCTTATTTTCCCGAACAAAGAAACCTTTGGGTTATGAGTAATCTATTTATTCCAATCACCTGGCATGATTTGCAGGAAAATTGCCCAGAACTAGAATATTGATCCATAGTTTTACATTATGCAGCCCTTTTGTTTCTTCTTAGCTGCAGCTGGAGATCACTGGTTGGTTCACAGGAATAAGCAGGGTTAATCTAAAATGTAGACAAAAACATTTTTTTTTTTTTTGAGAGGGAGTCTCTCTCTGTCACCCAGGCTGAAGCGCAGTGGCACGATCTCACCTCACTGCAAACTCAGCCTCCCAGGTTCAAGCGATTCCCCTGCCTCAGCCTCCCAAGCAGCTGGGATTAATAGGCGCCCGCCACCACGCCTGGCTAATTTTTGTATTTTTAGTCGAGATGGAGTTTCACCATGTT